ATTAATGACCTGAATGAACACATTAGGAAAAAAAATTAGAAAATGGAATGGACTAAAGTAACCTCTACAGCGTCGCCAGTTTTTTCAAAATCTAAAGGTTTCACTTCAGCGTCAAATTTCTCTTTTATGGTTTGCTCATAGTCTTTTTCGATTTTAAACTGATTGCTGAAAGTTTTCGGTATTACTATTGAAAAATGGTTTTTGGTAACCTACTACTTACTTCAAGAAAAACCCATTTGCTATTCTACTTTTGACGTCATTCGTTGCGTTCATAATTTGTCTGGAAAGCTCAGAGTAGTGTTCTTCAATCTCGCTGTCTGACTCTCCTGAAAAGTTCCGTTATTGGACATGGACCAAGAATTCCAAGACATATCTATTACCCTTTGAAATTACAGAATTGATTTGTGATTTCGTTGTTCCTCGTGCGCCTGCTTGTACCATAGCCAAAGCGAAGATTACTGAAATTGGAGACACGACCACAGACTGGTTTGCCGGTGCATGCCGTAGCATATCTAGCCCAAAGTCCGTTTCCACTATTGGGAACATCCTGAAAAAAGTGTTTATGTCGAAGTGGGCGGAGGTGGTTTAGTGACAAGTGCGCACTATTACGCACGTATGGTCACGGATTCGAATCCCGGATCGATATTCGCTTGGGCCAACCAAGCCTTCCATATGTCCGGGGTCGGTAACTGGTATCAAACTCGTCTGATTGTGAGAGGCTAATAGCACTGACGTGTATATCGGTTGGCCACCGCAAGTCATTGTATAGACCACGTTGCCTTCAATGCGCCACTACAACTCTGAATGGGAGTCGAATGTGGGGCGCATCCTTTTGACGGGATTGATCAACGCCCATAAACTTTATCTTCTTATTCTTTTTGTATGAAAGTAACACGTTAAGAGGGACCTCTCAGATGGATCGGTTAGGGCCCCCAGTAAAGCTTTCTGAGGTTACAGTGGCCCAGACAGCGTGGTACACAATTCTAGCCTGAATAGAGATGTTCACGTTTATATAGCGCTGAGCTGGGCCTTCTATCTTAGGAAGGCTCGAGCCAATGTTGATGAAGCACTTCACACCACTCTTAACCAACAGATCACTTATATACTGAGCTAGTAGACCTTACAAGAACAAAAGAACAAATTTTCAAAAATACGGATGAAAAGGATGTAATCCTGTTGAATAGACTTTGCTACGGAAGGAACTCTGCTACAAAAGAAAAAAGTTCCCGTAATTCGATTAAGTGTTGCAAGATGGAAAAAAGAGAACGATAAGAAGAATTGGAAAACACGGTTCGTTCTAACTTTCACTTAGATGAATCCTTTTTTACGACCGAAGTATCCCTCGTTTTTATGGAAAGCCCTAGATAAAGATGTTTCGGGAAAGTAGCCGTCTCCAAGTAGCGAAAGCGGTACGGAGGAGGTTTCTTGATCTGCGGTTTACTCGGTCAGGCACCCAGACACATCATATACCATTAAGAGAACACACACACACACACACACACACACACACACACA